GGCAAATATAGGGCAAAAACGGTTATCATATATCCCCACTGGGTAAATGCGTCTAAACTAAGGGCAAATATATAACATATTCACCCATGTGTTCAGATGTATGGCAAAGCAATGGCAAATTTATTAGAAATTTACCCCGACCTTTGCCTGCATAGGCAAATGTATGGGCAAATATAGAGCACCATATTTGCCCAACATTTGCCAAGCGGACATATGATGACCAAATCCATTATTTCGTCGAGTGGAAATTATTGATGCGTGAATCGCTCATGATCGCTATCAATTTCTGACATATGTTTCCATTAAGCGCTGAAGTTTATGCTCCAGTGAACTCCACTTGAGGTTGTGCATGCTCTTTTATGAGCCAACGGATATCATGGTCAGTTGTAATCTATATGAGCCACGCGTGGTGGCATAGCGTTTTGACAACATGGCGGACGAAGAAAGAGTCTTGCTTACTTTACTTTAGCCAAGCGAAGATCAAATTTGAAGCAGAAAAGATCTCATCGTTTTTGGGTGAGACATATCTTCAAAAACAGAAAACAACAGGGTTTTTACCACAACCTATTCGATGAGCTATTCGATGTCAGTACTTTTGTCCTGGCTATTCTGTACGATTCATAAGCTTATAAACAGCACAATAAAAAATATTAAGGCTGCACTATCATGACTTTCAGCCATGCTGTGTAGAAATAACGCAAGGCCAATGTTTTGCTTTGTTTAGTACGTCGCTATGACTACCACTACTGACAGGTGCGACATTTCGATCGCTCGATCGCTGAAAAGCGTTTCCATATAATCGCTCACGATCGCTGGCATCATTTTCAGCGATCCGGCGATCGTGAGCGATCATATGGAAACCAGGATTTACGCGTTTTTCGTGCTTACAAACATCCCTTGTGCAACTAGCATGACTCGCAAAAAAAAAAAAAAAAAAGCTTGTCCGGGGTAGACACGGTTATGCCGAACCTTGTCTGATTTATAATATGCGCAAGACCACCTGAAAAAATATCTTTATAACTTTCTTTGTTAGCTATAATCTCGATCAAAATATATGCGCATAAACACTAAATGGTGGCATTTCTTGAAAAACGCGAACTGAAAAGCAATTATTTTAAGAAAAGGTCAATTCAATGTCGCAATAAAAAACTTGGCTATCAGCTCGCTGTGTGGCAATTATGCTATAGTCACTTTTCTGTCTTTTGTCAGTATGTCACCAGATCCAATCAAATATAAGTAGAGTTAACCTAGAGTGCTCATAGACTAAATATCAGTCTCGTTTTGGTTGGCTGAAGATATACTCTTAATGAAGTGCGTGATTACACTTTGTTAAACAACGCCAACCTATGTTGAGCTAGTTTGCTAATTAGTCTCTGCTTTTTGCAAGGTTTTCTGTATTTTGTCCGATTCTTTTCAACCTTTTTGTGCAAACTCTGATCTCCTGCCATCATTTGCAGACTTTGTTTGGACAACAGTGCAAATATTGAAATTCGCAAGGCAAATCCATTAGTTTATAACGCTAAGTTTGAATATTGACTAGTCTCAGTTAAGAGCAAAATGGCAGATACGAGGTACGAGCTAACGGAAGACAACAAGTCTCCAAGACCCGTATGGAAAACCAGAGCCATACTTGCACTGAAGATTCTATTGGTTGTAGTGGTGTTCTTCATTGGCTTCGTAATAGGATACTTTGTCATGAAAGGTTCTATTCCGAAAGACCGAGCGGAAAGTTCGTCTAACACTGCAGCTGCAGATTATAATGAATACGCCACAAGACTTGCGGAATCACTTCAGGCAAAAAATATCGAGGAATTCTCCAAGTAAGTCAAGTTGGGTTTGATACTATGAGCTAATGATTTATTAGTCGAAGGAGTCACCAAAAATATCAAGACATTCCGGCTATTGAATGTTTAGTTGTGTACAGTCATCAAGCAAGTCCCGCTCGGCTGAGTGGAACTGCCACATGAAACTTTATCAATCACTTCCTTTTTTTTTTTTATATCGATCGATCTTTTTCATTTGGTTTCTGCGTAACGTGCAGGTTTTCTTTTTATTAGTGGAATGAGGTGTTTCTTAATAATCAAGTAGTGTTTAAACTTTGAATTTTAAATTAAGTACTTGTGATATTTGAATTGCAAAAAAGCCAAGCCCTGAATACATTATGCAAAAGAGCAAACATGGATTTCCGTGTCATGAGTGCAGCCCACAGATATCCGAAACTCAATTGTTTAGGGTATCGACAGAATTACAGTAAATACGATATACACTTATTTCAATAAAGTTAGTCACCCGAAAAGCTACAAAGCTGAGACCAACAAGGATTATGGATAGTTACATTTTACATGTTTAACCGCTTTAATAACTGTTGATGGATTTTAGATCTTTTACCAGTTACAGTCTCACCTCTTCTGAGCATCCTCAAGCTGCAATTTGTATCAAAAGCTTTACTTGTTTGATATGAAAAGTTTCCCATGATCCTCAGTGATCTCAGCTTTCTAGTTTTTTTGGTGACTAACTTTATTGAAATAATTGTATAATATTACTGCTGTTTTCCATCTGCGAACTTGGTAGTTACGAGTTGCACGTAAAATTGGGCACGCTGAGATTTGCACGTAAAATTGAAAACGTTTGAAATTTTTTCGCTGCCGTTAATCAAAAAATAATCATTCGGTACCATATGTGTTGCTGACTAGCGGCAGTGAAAGACCGATTTCACAACAAGCCATTGAGATGTCTGAGTTTGCAGAATATCGAAAATCTATTAGACGCTATTAACAGTATGGTTGGGTCAAATGCTGAGTAAATGTTGCGTCAAATAATGGGACTGTTTTTCATGGTTTGGCAAAAACGCTGGGTTAAAATTTTGGGTCATATTTAATAGAGGGGATCCCTCTATTAACTATTAACGCTCTATTAACGCTGGGTCAAATTTAATACAGCCGGCATGAACGTTAGAGTGGTTTTCAAAAACCCGTGAAATACACTTTAGCGTTTTACACTTTAATACACTTTATTGTCCGCATTTTCTTTTGATTTTCTTTGTGTTTTCGGTGTATTACAATTTATTACACCTTAGTTATTACACTTTGTTTCACGGGTTTTTGAATACCACTCTGACTATAATAAATAGGGTTTTAATAAGTTGAATAAGCACCGCTCATTATTTAATAGATAATTACTGAGGCACGCAGCATTCGTAGGTTTAATGCAGGCAGCTGAGGGCGTAGCCCGAGTGATTATCTAGTATAGTTATTGTTCTTATCAAAATCCAATTGTTTTCTTTCTAGCTTGTTTACCATAGAAACAAAGCCAGTAATGAATGAACTAAATATGTCTGATTTTCCTCTATGCATTCGTTGGGATAATGCAGACTGAAAACAATGGATTTTAATAAGATCAGTAATTATAATAATCGAATTCTCCTTTCCGCAACAGGTATTTTACCAAACATCCTCACATGGGAGGCACAACGCAGAACGACAAACTGGCATACTACATTCGGGATAAGTGGCTGTCTTACGAGTTTAACGTGGACTTGGTTCGCTATGACGTGTTATTGTCAATGCCTCGTAAGGATAAGCCAAACGCTGTCAAAGTGATCAACACCACAAACAACGATGTTCTTGTTAATATAGAGGGCCCTGAGAAGGTAGGTGGTTAGGGTGCCGGTGTCATTTAATTAAGAGAGAATTCTTTTCGTATTTAAGCAGTGAGCGCCAAAAACTATTTTCTTGAAGAAAGACTGTTGTACAGGGCTAAAATCTCGTTATTCAGAAAGTTTAACTTGTTTGGAAGTGGAGATGACCGATGAAAGTGGAATCAAAGTGTTAACCCAAAGCAAAAATGTTATTCGAAAATGAGGTTTAGGCCTTCATTTGCTTTATTTCCCATACAGTTTCTATAAAAAAGCCTAACAAACCTACATTCTAACACAAATGCAACAAAACATCTTTATACAATTGAAAATACCGCTTCAAACAGGCATTTCATCATAATACATCAGTTTCTAACTGTTTAAAAAGGTTTTGAGTGTTAACCCAAAACGAAAATTGGGATCAAAACTCATACGAAAGTCTAGTTTTTGGCACTTTTTGCCATTATTGCTTATTATTGAAAAAAATTTTCTCTTAATGAGTAATATAACCTAGCATCAGAGCCATTATAACAGTGAAAGCACCCCAGAAATGCATTAAACTCATCGAAATGCATTCTGGCGAAATAAGCTAGCCAGCTACTTCACATTTATTGAATCTCATATGCTACGCTTTAGACCAAGGAAGCAAGTGAAAATGATTCTTCAGTGGCATCACCTTTTCTCGCTTATTCGCCTCCTGGTGACGTCAGCGGTGATCTGGTTTACGTCAATTATGGAAGAGTCGAAGACTTTGTTGAGCTAGAGGCTTTGGGACAAAACTGCTCAGGAAAGATTGCAATAATGCGTTATGGAAAGATATTTCGTGGTAATAAGGTGAGGGACTAAAGGCTCCGATCAAATGTCGAACTTCACGTGATGTCAGAACAGCCATGTTGGAGTACCTTTGACATTAGGCTTTGTCGTTAGTTCATTATGTTAGGTTCACCAATATGGCTGTCAGATAACTCTCTAGGGAGTGAAAAAGCTATATTCAAAACGAGGGATGATAATAAAAGGCGGTCTTCTTTTATTTCATAAGGTTGGGCTCACGTTTACCTTACTACTTCATGTAAGACGACTACACATGAAATGGCACTATTCCGTAAAAAGTTTAAGATTTGGGTTGAGGGTTAGGGTTTGGATTAGGGTTTCAGGACGTTATAATCAATAATTAATAATCCAATAGTGCCATTTCATGTAGTATTACATGAATTACTAACCCATGCTTTTAATATTTTTAATATTATTATTATTGATATGGCATGGGGAATAGTGATGCTCCTACCCAAGGTAGACCAGAATGCACGACGAAGAAGAAATGAATAGGACTAAATCGGCTTATTTTTCGCAACCACTTTAATTAAATTTCTGATATTGCTCCAACAGGTTGCAAATGCTGAAAGCTATGGTGCAAAGGGTGCCATTTTATTCTCTGATCCCGCTGACTATGCTCCCGGGGGCGTCGACAACACATTCCCTAAGTCATGGTGGTTACCGGAGACTGGCTCCCAGAGAGGTAGTATACTTGGAATAAACGGTGATCCATTGACACCCGATCTGCCATCCAAAGAAGGTATATACAGAATCCCAAGGAATAAAGCCAAGGGAATTCCAGGAATACCAGCTCAACCAATGGGATACGGCGATGCGATCAAGCTACTCAGCATAATGACAGGTAAGAAACTCCACCCCCTACCCCCAACGTACAAAATGTTTTGTTTTCTTTTTGGTGGGGGGGGGGGTGGGGGGAGAAGCAGTTATTATCTTCAATCAAGCTAATTAAGGACGTCCATGGGCAAAAGATCCCATCGTCAGATTTTTAAAAACTTTTGCACGATGAAAGTACATCATACTAGAAGTCAAATAAGCAAATAAAAAATAGGGGTCCCCGACTTCGTTAACAATGCGTGGAGGTTCACCCTTTTTACTGCAAAAATTCTTCCCGGTATTTAGTAGATAATATATATAGTTTTCGAAATTTGACTTGAATTGGATGTTATAATCATCATAGGACCCGAGGCACCAGCAGCATGGAGAGGAGGCCTTGCCATTACTTACAGACTCGGTCCAGGCTTTAAAGACAGTAATGTAACCCTTAGATTGATAGTAAACAACCAATTTGTCGTCCGTCCAACGTATAACGTGATTGGTACAATTAATGGTAGGGAAGAACCAGACCGTGTGGTGTTGCTAGGCAACCATCGTGACGCATGGGTTTTTGGTGGAGTCGATCCTTCAAGTGGGACAGCAGTTATGATGGAATTGTCGCGTGGTGTTGGCGAGCTGATGAAAACAAGCTGGAGGCCAAGGAGAACTATCATGTTTTGTAGCTGGGGGGCTGAAGAGTACGGGCTCATAGGATCATGGGAATGGGTGGAGGAAAATCAAAAATGGCTGGGAGATAGAGCAGTTACTTACATCAATTTGGACTCGGCAGTATCTGGCAATTACTCCTTCTCTTCTAGTGGGAATGCGTTATTAACAGGTCTAATTATGGAGCAGGCGAAGAAAGCGACTGACCAAAACCAGGGCGTGTCCCTCTACGAGGCGTGGAAGAAGCGAATTCCTGGAGAAGGCGGAATGCCGCGTTTTGGATCACTTGGTTCCGGTTCTGACTATTCTCATTTTGCGCATTTCCTTGGAGTCCCATCTATTGATATAAGGTATGTGTTCAGGTCGATGAACGTCTCTGGCTACCCTGTTTACCATTCGGTGCACGACACTTTCTATTGGCAGAAAACATTCACCGATCCTTACTTTAAGTCTCACTTGACCGTATCGCAAATTGCCGCACGTATCCTAGTTGCTGCCTCGGATTCTCCCCTCTTGCCATTCACTTTGGCCCCCTATTCAGCAACACTATTATCTGGATTCAAGAATCTGAAAAAGAACGAAGGAGCTCAGCTTCAGTTACATAACATCACGTTAGACCATCTGGAAGAGGCAATTAATATCTTCAAAAATGCGACGGACGTCTTTGAATCCAAAATAAAAGAAATGAAAGTGTCCAAGGACTTTGCGAAGATAAGAGCTTTGAATGATCAAGTGATGTTGCTAGAACGGACTTTCATCTGGCCTTATGGGTTGCCCGGCCGCTCTGATGTCCGTCATGTGATCTTTGCTCCTTCCTTACACAACCAGTATGGTTCTTCGACATTTCCTGGAATTGGTGATGTGCTGTTCGACATTGTCAAGACAGGCAACTGGCAGGAGGTGAAACGCCAGATCTCGATCATTACCTACAGCATTCGAGCAGCTTCCAAGGCTGTTGGATGGATGTATTAGTCAAGTCTGTCTCCCCCCTCCCCCTCCCCCAACAAGTTTAGCTTGATCCTTGCCCTAATAGTTATCATACATGATCACTAGAGATTCCAGTTGCTGAACAGTTGCTGAAAGAAGAACCCTTTCAATACTCATGATTTTTGTAATAGAAAACTTGTAACAAAAAAAAAAAAAAAAGATTTCCTTGCATAACCACATACATGTTAAAGGGAATAGTCCTCCCCGGCTTGGGTATAATGTTTTCCCATTTCAGACCATGTGCCATTCCCTTGAGAATAAGATTCTTTGTTTAAGTTGTATCAATATTCATGTGCCTTCTCATATGCAACCAAGCGTAAGCATTTAACAAATAAATGATACTCTAGGGAATGACACATGGACTGAAATGGGGAAACATTATGCCCGAAGCAAGGTGGTCTATTCAATAATGAGGAATAGTAAAGTTCTATATAAGTTTCATTGATGAAAGTTTTTTCATGGTACTTTAAAGGGAAGTATTTGATATTTTTATGAATATTAAAATGAGTCTCTGTGACACCATCTACTCAACAGTAAACATCACTCAATACATTTCTTTGTAGTCTAAGATCAAAATATCTGCTATTTTATGCTTAGAATTAAAGAATAAAAATCACTGGCATTGAACAAAAAAAGAAACAATAGACTGTTTTCTCAAGGTTGCGTGCACATCCAACTTGATGGGCCACAAAATTGAAAAATGTAAATTCAGTAAAATTGAGAAGCCGGTTTTACAATTAAAGAGGAGTATAATCAATTTTATTAATTCTTATCGAAAAAAAAATCATAAAAATGTAATATGATTCTTATCATACGCTCCTGTTCTGGTATCGTGGAGTGTCAAGTTCTTAAATTGGATGCGCATGCAACCTTCAGAAAACAATCTATTCATTAAAATTAAAAGCTTTTAAAAAACTGATGCTGAGTCCAGGAATCAAACCCAATTTAGACCCAGGAGAAAAACCCTCGAATCAAGGGAGAGACCTAACAAACTCTACTCACATGTGATGCTGAGTCCAGGAATCAAACCCAATTTAGACCCAGGAGAAAAACCCTCGAATCAAGGGAAAGACCTAACAAACTCTACTCACATGTGATGCTGAGTCCAGGAATCAAACCCAATTTAGACCCAGGAGAAAAACCCTTGAATCAAGGGAGAGACCTAACAAACTCTACTCACATGAGATGATGACTCCAGAAATCAAACCCGAGACCTTAGATGCAGAGTGAATGGGAGACAAGAGTATTAGGCCAAACAAAAAAATAAGTGTGTTCCCTGTTGCGCAACCGACCTTAATTTTCTTGCTGATTTTTGCCAACCCTCATGTTTCATTTCATTTTCATTCCCCAATGCACTACAGGGTTCCCAGTAAGCTCATATCTACTGTTGTATCCCTAAAAAAAAATATATATATAATAATAATAATAATAATAATAAATCCGACCTACCAACCCCAATTTTTTTTTCA